ATGACCTGCGGCGCGACTGGCGCTCGGCACGCGTGCTGGGCGACCGAGGCGGCCGCCACGACGCCGGCGCTGGCCGTCGTCGGACGAAACGTGGCCAGCATCCGGAAATAACAGGAGGCGCTCACTGTGGCACATGAGCGGGATTCATATCTGGCGCGATTATCGTCACGTTCTCGTTTGCTAGAAATGTGTGGGATCGCCCTGACGTGCCTCCATAATTAAGCAATGGGAAGCGCCGTGCGCCTTACCTCGCCCGCGTCCGCCGTCGCCCGCGCCGTCACGCTCTGCTGATGTCGAGGCCGGCGCAGTCTCACAGATCAGCGTTTGTGGCGGAAAAGGGAAATATTGGACCGTTCGTGGTTATTAGTCCGACCGTGCAGCCGCGAGAATAGGTCACGTGCAGGGACGTGTCTCGGCCTGCGTATGTCACCCTCGCGCCGTCGGTTTCTCGGTGCTAAGTCTGAGTCGCACTCGACTGTACTACGGTTTCTTTAGGGGATTACTGGCGTGGATGTACATAGTGTCCCAAAAGTAAGAGAATCTCACATATATTGAAAAAGTGTACTTGTCGCGTGCGGATGTGAAAGATTTGTCATGCAGTGAGAAAAGGCCCGCATTTGTCTCACCGCTCCTCTTTACGGATCAATGGCATAAGTTGTTAATAGTGTGCCTATACATGTATTGGTCTCACAGCAGTGGTGTAGCCTAGGATTGAGCCAGCAGTGGGCCAAATGGAGCATAGAGACCTTTCAGTTAAGGGGCCTCCCACATCGTCACTACAGGGGTCCTGTTTTTCTATTGGTGACTGCCTTATACACAGGATCTTATTTTGAAGCCTTGGGAGCCCGTTTCCGATGTTTGAGAATCGCTTCTGGTGTCTTAAGCTGTCGTGAAGTGCGGGACCTTCGGCCTTAGAAAAGCCCGACCACCTTCAAAGAATGGGGGAAAGCGATCATACAAAATCTCCCCGTCCCGTAAGTATAAGCGGTTCTGTGTGGAAACTTATCTTCAAACACAGTCGTACTCATTAAGTCCAAAAGCCCTTTATGTTAAAGTTCGACATAAACGCATCTAGTTAAACGGGATGTCGAAGGTGGTAAAAATAATTAAAATGCCAATAAAATAGGACAGAAACAAATAAATCCATTCTAAACCTGGCCGGCCGTTTCTCAGCACTGGCTGTCTGTGTCTCGCATAGCTGAAAATCGTAAATATAATGTCGCAATAGAATAGCATGCCCAAATCACACCCATCTCCATGGTGAAGTGTCACTGAGTGATCAATCACTTCGCACGTCGCCTTCAAGCCTGCGAGCAGCGACGTAGCTCACACATATCACGTGAAGTTCAGTAATGGAGAAATGAACGAGCAGATGCAAAACGTAAGCCTCGTGATTTGCCATGATTCGGACAACAAATGACCAATGTTATAACGATGTCCATCAAAAAGCATATTTGCTGGAACTGGTGCTGTGCGCGCTCTCACGTTTCGGAAATCCTGTAGGCAACAAGGCTTTGCATTTCTCATGGACAGTGTATGTATCTGTTTGTTCTCATGCTGATCATCTCATTGCGCGGAGAGGCGAGCAGGCGTGACTATCCAGAGACGAAGTAGTGTGCTGGCCAAAGCATGCCATTTGTGCCTAGAGCAGGCGCAGACTTCTCCCCAGTTGAACGATGCAGTGTAAGTGTACCATGCTGAGCTCACTGCACTGCGGCAGAGCCCGCTGATTTCTCCGGGAGAGCGGCACAGGTCCGGCTGACGGAGGGGGAGGGGGTCCGGTGCCGAGGGCCCGGCGCCGGTCATTGCCTCAGCGTCACCCCGACGCACCGTGAGCTTCCACGCCCGCCCGGTCCCCTTTCAAACCGGGATCAAATGGCGTGAAATGAGGAGCGTGGTCCAGGGGCGGGGCGGCTGGCCGGCCAGGGTCCAGCCGGATGTGGGGAACACAGGCTGCGGCGTTGGAATCGGACACCGGGCATTGGAGTAGATGATCAGCCTTGCAGTTACATGGCTGCTTCATGCTTACCCGCGCATTATTCACCGTAAAGCCTTCTACGTCAAGCTGTACTTACGTCACGAACGACCGATTGCGCGTGGTTATGTGTTTGCCAGAAAGCCATGGGTTCAAGGCCATCATTGCTTATATCAGCAGCATACACGGATAAGAGAATGATGCTGACAGGTCAATCATAATGCCGACCAGTTATGCGCCCAGAGATCTCGTTTGAGTACTATTTGCCAGCTGTTAACGTCGCCAGCTATCATAGCTCAAATTCAACTTAGGACATTTATCTATGATAGCATCAAAATGAAGCTTACATGCCTGAAAGTCGTGAGAACTGCGCGTTGTGAATGTCAATGGAAACAGGAAATGGGTGTCCTAGTGCTAAGAGTGCGTAACGGACTTGTAGCAAATGGCACTGGGCCATTTTTCGATACGTTGTAGCTAAAACTCGCTCATGTGGTTAACGTGACCTGACAAAGACCTCAGACTGTCATTTTTCGTTAGAAACCAGTGCGGTATAAAACAGTGGAACATTAATGAGACCGTAGTGCAAGTATTTCCGCAGCTGCGGTCATTAGTGTTAAGGAGCTGACGACTTTTGCCGCTCTTCCAAGCGCTCAGTGTGCGTAAATGGACTTCTGGGTTCCTGAGCTGACTTGGGTATGCTTTTGATCTGGTGGGATCGCGTGAAATAAAGATAATATATCTGAAAGGATTGCGAACCTCATTTGTCAACATTTTGCATTAGATACCAATCCGAGAGATTTTGGGTCATACGCTTCTGTTGTCTTCTGTCGCTTGTCTGTTATCGCAAAACAACTGGATTTGAAACAGAAACCCCCGTGACCTGTGGATGAAGACGATTGGGTCTAGAGCTGAAACAGTGAATGTGGCGCGATGATGTTTTCCCGATCCGGCCGGCCACTCAACGGCGATGTTGTCACGTGCTCGGCATCCGTTGCGGCGTGGTGTGCTCGGTGGGCGGTGCGCGGGCCGTCAGTCGCTGCTGCTGCTCCGCAGATGCCGTTCATCGACCGCACGCTGGACAACAAGCCGGTCCGGGAGCTGCTGCTCGAGTACAAGGCAGACGTCGACGAGGGCTTCGAGGATGCCGCCGAGGAGGTGGGCCTCCGCTCCACGGCATTCGCCGGCCTGACCCAGCTCCGTTGGCCCGTCACAAAGCCGAAGCTGCACACCCGCAGTGGCGAGCGAGCCAGCCCCGTGGTCACGCGGAGAGCGTCCGCGTGTCATCGCCAATGTCCTGACGTGGGCTCAGTTGTGCGTGCGTCCTTCCAGTGAAATCGCACAGCACCGAACGTGACCGTTCGGTGTCGCGGGTCACCGAAACATGCTGCCCCTCCAATGGTGGTGTCTGGTACGCCGTGGTGAGGTTTTCCACACGTTAGGATGTGCCTCGCGTCTGCTGTGTCCGCCGCCTGCTGTGTCCGCCGCCGGCTGTGTCCGCGTGTGCCCGCCGCCGTGATTGGCGGCCTGTTGACCGAGCGCTCCCCTGCCGCCGGTAGGACAGCCGCGTGTCTCGGGTGAGCGACTCGCTGCTGCTGGGTCCGTCCGAGGAGGAGGAGGAGGAGGGCCAGGCCAGCGATCGGCGGCCGGCTGCCGAGGCCGACAGCAAGGTAAGCCGCTGTCGGACGCCTCTCCGCAGCTCTCTCCTGTGGCCCAGCCTCGCTCTGTGTGAGCCGTGCCCACCACTTGGCTCGCAGTTTCTTGCGAGCTGGTTTCGATCAGTGATGTTTTCTCTAGTTAGTTGCAGGCGACAAGGTATCAGCCCTGTGGTGTTATGGAGTTACTATGAGGACCGCGACTCGGAGAAGGTCCTGGGCCATGACGTCTTTGGGTCCTTTGTTGCAGGGCTCCTCAGAGTCTGCTGCCGCCAGCGCGGAGTCAACGTCCCTGCCGGCGACTCAGACTCCCCCGCCGTCGGCTCCCACTTCCCCGCCGTCGGCTCAGACTTCTCCACCTTCGACTCAGAGTTCCCCAGCGTCGGTTCAGACTCCCCCGCCGTCGGTTCAGACTGCGCCGCCGGCGACTCAGACTCCTCCGCGGCGAGAGGCTAAGTCCCCTGCTGAAGCTCCGGGTCCAGGTCCTGCTCCAGGTCCTCCCCAGCTTCCCCAGCCGCCCGACAATCCATCTGGTCAGCGTGCTGCTCCGCCGCCGCCGCCGGCGGCGGCGGCGGCGGCGGCCGGCGACGGGCCGGTCTCGCTGCGTCACGCCGAGCAGCGGCCGCTGGTGACGGCCGAGCCGGTGCTGGTGCAGACGTTCGCCGCCGGCGGCGGCGGCACCACTCGCCTCGTGCTGAACGGCGGCGACGGGCCAACGACGCCGCCGCCGGACCGGCCCGGCACGCGCCAGCTGACGGTCGGCGGCGGCGGCGGCACCGTGCATGGTGAGAGGCAGAGGCGACGACTCGCTCCCTAGGTCGGGGACGATGAGTGTCGGGGTGTTCGATTATCCCCCCCCCCCCGCGCACTCACATACATATCTCTGGATTTAGGGGCAAGGCAGTCGGACAGACGTTTGGGAAGTTGTAAGTACGGATGTTTTGTCTCCGGGGATGAGCTTCACCTCGTCATCGTCTGCTCTGTATCCTTGCCTCGTGACTGTGTGGGGCGCCGCTTGGGTTTCGTCCAGACTGGCTGTGTTTATACATCCTTGATTTCAGCGTCTTCCATGTCCGTGGTAACGCTCTTTGCTGGCCATTTGGCCTCCTTGTTGGCTGGTGCTCCTCTGCGTGACTAGGCGCTTCCGGTCCGTCGCTGTGGCCGTCGTGTTCGCCGCGGGCGCGCATGTGTCCGTGCTGGGCTCCGCGCGACTGACCGGTCGCGCCGCAGGGCCGCCGCCGGCAGCACCTGCCGCCACGCCGCCCGGCCGGCCGGCCGGCCAGCGGCTGGACGACAGTGAGGTGGTGATCTCGGGCTGCAGCATCGTGGGCGGCAGTCCGCCGCCGGCCGACCCGCGGCCGCGCTTCGAGCTGACGCTGGAGGAGCGCCACGACGAGCCGCCGGAGCCGCCGGCGCAGAAGCCGCAGCCGGAGCCGACGCACGTGTCCGTGGTGCAGGTGGAGCCGGAGCGAGAGCGGTCGCCGGACGCGGGTGAGCGCGGCCGGCAGCTGCGGCGGGGGCCGAGTCCGGCGGACTCCCCAGTCCGGTCCACCGGACTGCCGGACTCCCCAGCCACGCTGTGTGCTACTGGAAATCGACGCTTACGGGCGGCCCGGCTAATGGCTCACGCGGTAGCCGCGCTGATGCGGCGCCGCGCCTGGTCATTCCCGCTGTGCTGGGAACGTCTCTGTGCTTCTGTTCCGTTGTCTCTCCGCTGCTTTCATGCGCGGTCGTCTGCCCGGGGCCGGCCAATCGCCGGCGCTGGGACAGCCGTGCTTGTCCGTGTGTCCCGGCCCTGCGCGGCCGCGGTGCGAGCCACAGCCGGTCCTGATGGCTTGCTGGCCTGTGCTCCGCAGGCTCTGCGACGGCGCTCTCGCCCTTCACGTCCATCACACTGCAGGGCACCACTGTGGGCAGCTCGGACGTGGACCACTTGGCGGAGGAGACCAGCCTCTCCCCCGGACACAGTCCGCTGCCGGCCCGGGTAAGTGGCCGAGGCCCGCCGGGGCTCAGAGGCTCGCCGAGTCGAAGTCGGGAGACTCGCCGGGTCAGAGTCGGTCAACTCACCGGATCAGATTTCGGAGGCTCGTCGAGTCAGAGTCAGAGTCACTGGTCCGCGCGTCCCTGCTCAGACAGCCCAGCTAGTGCTGAATGAGTGTTGACTGGGCTCGGACGGTGCGCTTCTGCTGCTTGTTGCCATGCCTGACTGCGGGACTGAGCAGCACTGACCACACTGACCATGGCTCAACGTAGTCGTTGATCAGTGTCGAATGGATCTATATAGCCCTGCGATGGCAGCGTTGATCGCGTCAGTCAACTGCTGGATAACGTGATAAATGCTCATCATTTTCGCCGTAATAAGGGGACTGTACAGCGGGAGCCAGGGTACTCGTAGTAGAGTGGTTCGCCTGCGCTTCGGGGAAACTAGAGGTTCGGGGTTCGGGGTTCGATTCCCCGTGGTGCCTGTCCTTCTTGCCAGGGCGAGAGGCAGGCGACGTTACATAACCTTAGTAGCTGAGTGCGTTGTAAATCCCAGTGATGACGACGCGCAGCAGGGGCCAGTCGCATACCTTTATATGGTGTAGCCCACAGCAAAGCCCATTTCAGGAGTGCTTTATAATATTTCCCCGTGGTCGCATTGCGCTCAACTATTGTCGCATGTTCGCACTGGCCTCGGCAAGCATGCTGCACTATGGGAGCCACTGGAGCTACGAGCGTCACTGAGCTATCGGCTCCGCCTGCAGCCGGCTTCGGGCGGCAGCAGCCGGGACAGTGACGTCAGCAGTCTGGCCCCGCCCACCGAGGGCGGCTCACTGGGCAGCGCGCCCGGCAGCCACTCCCCTTCTGCCGGGGCGGACGGCGAGGAAGTGCAGCTGCGCCGCAAACGGCCCGCACCGCAGCCCCAGGTAATGCCCCGGCATCCCCAGGTAATGCCCCGGCAGCCACTCCCCTTCTGCCGGGGCGAGCGGCGAGGAAGTGCAGCTGCGCCGCAAACGGCCCGCGCGACAGCCCCAGGTAATGCCCCGGCATCCCCAGGTAATGCCCCGGCAGCCACTCCCCTTCTGCCGGGGCGAGCGGCGCGGAAGTGCAGCTGCGCCGCAAACGGCCCGCGGCGCAGCCCCAGGTAATGCCCCGGCAGCCCCAGGTAATGCCCCGGCAGTCCTAGGGACTGCTCCGGTAGCCCCAAGTACGGTCCCGGCAGCCCCAGATACGGCCCCGCGGCCCCAGGTACGGCTCCGTGGTGTAACCAAGGCGTCGGCTGAACCAGGTCCTATCCACCAGCTGCCTTCGCAGTACAGCCACCATGACGACGCAATGTAGGGTAGGGCAGGGTAATGCCAGAAGCGATGATCAGTTAGGGCACTGTTGAGCCCAGAGGAGAGAGGGCTCGTCTGGACGAGGCCGCACGGAACGCAGGTTGGGACGGAGGATAGGGCGGGAGGGCGACCAAGAGGATAAAGGACAGGAGAGCACAGCAGGACAAAGGGCGATGCAGGATCACTGATATGAAACGGCTGAGAACAGGATGGAGCGGAAAATTTAATCAGTGGCTGAAATAAGAGAACAGAGGTCAGAGCAGATGATTTCATCAGGGGCTGAGAGCGGAGAACAGAGAGTAGAGAACAGAACAGGTGAAAGGTCCTCGGACGGGGCAAGGCCTGCATTGTCCTGCATGGCGCTGGCATGACCGGTTGCCTCCCCCTGTCCTTTGTATTATCCCTCGAGTGGTGCTGTGCTGTCCTTGTCACTCCCCTGCTCTGGTGTGCTCCACTCCGTCTGCCTCACAATGCGCGTGTCGTGCTGCTGGCAGGATGCGTCCAGTGACAGCGGCTCGCGCTCGTCCTCGGCCAGCCGCGGCCGCCAGCTCGAGCCGGCGGTCTCAGACACGCGCAAGAAGACGCGCAAGCGGACGCGACGCTTCGAGATAGACGGCGTCATGATGACCTCCACCACCAGACAGGTGTTGTACGGTGACGGGGAGACGGCCGGCTTCGACGAGCACGCCTTCCGCAAGCAGGAGCTGCGCGACCTCAAGCTGCTCCAGAAGCAGGAGCAGAAGCAGCACCGCGAGCTCTATTTTCAAGGTGAGCAGACGGGCAGCCCTGCCCTGCCCTGTGCTGCCCTGCCCTGCCCTGTTCTGTCCTGCCGTGTCGTGTCGTGTCGTGTCGTGTCGTGTCGTGTCGTGTCGTGTCGTGTCGTGTCGTGTCGTGTCGTGCCGTGTGTCCTGTCCTGTCCTGCCCTGTCCTGTCCTGTCCTGTCCTGTCCTGTCCTATCCCGTCCCGTCCTGTCCTGTCCTGTCCTGTCCTGTCCTGTCCTGTCCTGTCCTGTCCTGTCCTGTCCTGTCCCGTCCTGTCCTGTCCTGTCAACGCCAGGGAGATGGGCTGCCTGTCGGCGCGATGCGAACCGTGTGACAATTGTCGGGTCTCAGCATCAGTGGGATATGGCACTGCTTGGGTGCCAGCTCTCTAAAAATCCCGGTTTTTGAGACGCGTCGTATCTCCGGCTGAGTGGCTCAGCTCAGTGGTCCCACCTCTGAGTAGTGTCGGGAGCAGCTGCGCACCGGTTCGGGCGGGTGGCCTGCTGCGCCTGCGACCCGGCTCGGCGGGAGCACCAGGAGCCGCGCGGCCACTGACCGCGGCGCGCGGCTATCCGCCCCGACAGACGCAGCAGGCGCAGGAGCAGCAGCAGCGGCGCTTCGAGCAAGAGCTGGCCGAGCTGGTGCGCAAGTACGACGGCGAGCTGGAGGCGGCGCTGCGTCAGCAGCGTGCGGAGCAGGGGCGCGCCGAGCAGCGGCGGGAGCAGGACCTGCGCGCCGCCAGCAAGAAGATCCGCGCCGACCAGGTGATGGTGCCGGCGCCGCCAGAGGCGCCGCTCGGCACCCCGTCCCGAACGCCGGTCAGACGTGCGTTTGAAAGACAGCTTCGCACCTCTAGAATGTGTGCGGTTTCTTCATTTTTGGCGCTGTAGCAGTGTTGATCGAGTGGAGCGTGATCGGTCATTGATTTAAGGGTTTCCGTTTGCGGCAAGACCTGGTCATGCGCCGCCGTCTGTGACTTGCTCCGTGCGCCGTCCGTGCGTCCCGCTCCGCGGGGTAGCCCCCTGACGGGGCCTGTGTGCGCCGCGGCAGGAGCGAGAGCTGAAGACGTTCCGCGAGTCGCTGCGTGAGGAGGCGCGACGGCTGAAGCAGGACGCCGGCATGATGCTGCGTGACGTTAGGAAGGAGTCGCTCCGCGCCGGCAAGAACAAGATGGAATCCGATCACAAGGTGACGCCCGGCCACCGGCCGCAGCGGCCTGCGCACAGCCCGGACCGGTCTGCGGGTGCAGGCCGCTTGGGTCGCGTTCTGTGGCCGACCGCAGATGACGATGATGATGACGAGGACCGTGGTGATGATGGTGATGATGCTTTGGACATAAAGGCGCGCCGAGGCCATTTTGCGTCCGCCTGGCCGGAAAGCAGGGCCAAAGCCGGCATTGGACGCCCAACTGGTGGCGTCTGCCGCTCGCCTTCTTGTTTGTAATGGCTTGTCGATAGCGAGGTGGCGTGGTCAGTGCCGGCCGGCCGGCTGACCGGCGTCCCCCGGCCGCAGGAGAGGGAGCGTGTCTTCGTGGAGCGGCTGGACGAGCGGCACCAGCTGGCGCTGGAGGCGCTCTCCGAGCAGCACCAAGAGAAGCTGGCCAACATGATCAGCCAGTTTCGAAAAAAGAGGCACCAGGTGCGCCCCTCCCCCTCCCCCCGGGAGTTCACGAGACGGCCCCCCCCCCCCCCAACCCCAACCCCAGCTCCCACCCGGGCCCCGTCTGGACGTGCGTCCACGGAGGCTCGACGGCGGTCTTTTGAGGCGCTCTGCAGCGGCTTATGTGAAGCCGGCGTTGGCGTCTGGACAGTGCTGGGCCGGAAACTACTGCACGCATCTACACTGAAAAACTGGAACTGGCTGTTGGATGGTGGCATGATTATGGTCTCCACATCTAGTCATGTCTAGTAAGAACGTTGGTTTTGGGGCCGTTTCGCAGACAGATTCATCATGTTGTTTTTGTTTAGCCCAGGCCCGAGGCAGCTCACGATCGTGTTGACCACCGGGTGGCAACTGACGCAGTAAACCTCTGCCTCTGACCTTTGACCTTCACTCAGCTGATACGGGACAAGGAGTCGGCGAAGGACAAGCTGGAGGAGCGCCACATCCAGGAGCGTCACCAGTTGAAGAAGCAGCAGATCAAGGAGGCCTTCTACCTGCAGCGGCAGCAGGCAAGTTCCCAAACCAGCACAGGATGGCACGTTTGGCTTGTGGTGGGCAGATCATGGGTTCGATTCCCACTTGGGGCGCGGTGTTTCTGTTCCCCGCCGCAGCTAGCATGTGACATGACGCGGCAGCGAGTGCGTGCCGGCGGCGCTGTCCGCGGCGCCGACGCTGCCGTCTGACCGCCGCCTCCTCGACAGATGCTGGCGCGCCACGCCAGGGAGGTGGACCATTTGCGACGGGCGGGCCTGCGCCGGTCCGACCTGCTGGCGCGCCAACAGCAGAGCGAGCGGCGCGCGCTGCCCCAAGCGGATCCGCGCCGAGCGCAAGGCGCGCGAGCTCATGTTCCGCGAGAGCCTGCGCATCGGCCAGCCGCTGCCAGGCCGCCTGAGCACGGCCGACGGCGACAAGAAGGAACAGCTGAGCAACTTCCACGAGCAGGAGGGCAAGCGGTGCGGCCGGTGGTCGGCTGGCCACCCTCGCAGTGTGGCCGGTGGTTGGCTCGCTACCCTGGTAGTGCGGCCGGTGGTCGGCTCCCCACCCTCGCAGTGTGGCCGGTGGTCGGCTCCCTCACCCTCGCAGTGCGGCCGGTGGTCGGCTCCCCACCCTCGCAGTGCGGCCGGTGGTCGGCTCCCCACCCTCGCATTGCGGCCGGTGGTCGGCTCCCCACCCTCGCAGTGCGGCCGGTGGTCGGCTCGCCACCCTCGCAGTGCGGCCGGTGGTCGGCTCGCCACCCTCGCAGTGCGGCCGGTGGTCGGCTGGCCACCCTCGCAGTGCGGCCGGTGGTCGGCTGGCCACCCTCGCAGTGCGGCCGGTGATCGGCTGGCCACCCTCGCAGTGCGGCCGGTGGTTGGCTCGCTACCCTCGCAGTGCGGCCGATGGTCGGCTCCCCACCCTCGCAGTGCGGCCGTTGGTCGGCTCGCCACCCTCGCAGTGTGGCCGGTGGTCGGCTCGCTACCCTGGCAGTGTGCTGGCGGTCGGTGAACGCTGTTGGAACTCCGCTGTGGAACTCCGCTGAGTCACAGCTAGGAACAGAGAGCGTTCGAAATCTTCGAAAGGAAATGTTTCACTTTATTCAATTTTTAGTTTTGTGAGTTAGTTTAGTACTGACTCACTGACCTTGATGTAGTTTATGCATCTTGTTACATTGTCAGGCAGCGGGATAGCGAAGTTTTCCACGATCCGTTTTGCCGGTTGCGTTGTTGTGGCAACGTGAGCCTTCTTGATTACACTTTTTGGCTTTGGCAGGTACAAAGGTGAGGAGCACCGACTTGAACTGAAGCACAAGCGGAAGATGGAGGAACTGAAGGCTTTGAACGAGTCCGCCGTGAAGGAGCTGGAGCAACTGCACAACGAAAAGTGTGAGCGCCTCGCTGAAGCTCTGGAGAGTCGGCATCACCTCGTTTGCGTTCGCCACAGGCCACGTTGGCGAACAACTGACAATTTGCGCCCTGGACCTCTCGCTGGCACCCCGTACCGCCGGAGGGCGGTCCGCCCCGCGCGGGGTCGGTCCGATCTGTTTGGGGGAGCTGGTATGGGTCGGACGGGCTGTGCTGGTCTCGCTGACGGAGCGCCGGTCGCAGGTCGGACGATGCTGGATCACGAGGATGCCAAGCTGCGCTCTGTCGAGGAGCAGTACTTGGCCGAGGTGCAGGAGTGGCGCCAGTCCCTGGAGCCGCGCCGCCTGGTGAGAGCGCCGCCACATACCGGCCACTCTTAGGTCGTGCTTGCTGCTTATGCAAGATGGATTTTTCGCACCCTGCTATCACACGAAACATGATACCCTATTTTGTTGAAACCATATTCAGCCTTTGTACGGAAGCTAATGTTATGCGGTTGATATGCAGAGTTTCGGTGTCAGTTTCGTGTTGTGTACTTCATGTGAAAATGACCCCGCGTATGAATCGAAACCCTGTGAAGCCCAGTGTATGAAGATGAGTCTAAATGTTTGCAAACGTTACAATTTTTAAATGTCTTGGTAAACCTCCGTTTTCCATCTCGCCACTTCGCCCATGTCCCGCTTGCTCTGGCAGAAGCTGGAGGAGGAGCTGGCTGCCGAGCCAGGAGTATCAGCCGGAGTCGTCGCCGGCCGCCGCCAGGGACGGCTTCGTCAGCAAGGTGACGCTCAGTAACGGCCGCAGCAGCCTGGGCCGGGCCAGCACGGTCAGCGGCCACTCCCAATGACGCCGACCGCGCGCCTAGAGCTGACCTGGGCTCGACCGTGGCAGCCTCCGGGCGCAGGGACGCTCCAGGAACAGTGCTCAAGTTGGGGAGATATTCCCCAGTAGAGGGACCCCCCCCCCCCTCCCCCATTTGGGACACAACCCTGTGTGGAGCAGGGAGGAACGACAGCCGTCAGCGTTTGCGAGTGACGTGTTGGCGGTAGAGGCCGTCGTGCCCGGCGGGGCCGCGGCCTGGACCACCCGGGTGTGGGCGGTGCGTCTAGTCGGACGTCACCGGCGGACGGTGTGCCAAACGAAGCGACGAAGCGAGTCTAGTCTGCGCGTGCGGGTCAGAGCCGTGGACCGGGCGCTCGGCGGCTGGTGATGGTGTTGGTGTGAGCTTCGGCGACGAACGGTGGCTGTGTCAGCTGCTCGTGATTCATTGGTGGCGTCCTCCTCCGCTTACGGTGCTGTTGTAGGCAATCAAGAATGGCGTTATATGGCGTGTCTAGTGCTTGTCGCACTGATATATTATTACATATATACGTATATAAGTAAATGTCCGCCGCCAAGGCTAATTTTCATCATGATGATGCATTGATGACGCTTCATTGATGCGACTAATTTTAACGTTTGTGATTACCGCGCTACCGCTGCCATGCTTCCTGTGATGACGTCCCCGTAGTTTATAGAGCAGCCGACTGTATAGTTTGTTGCGCGCGGCTTCTGCCGCCGTCCGTACCGGCGAGAGGGTGTCAAGATCGTGACTGCCTGATCGCGGCCGTTCGCGCTCACCCATCGCCCGTCACGTCCGCTTCGCGGCCCGCTAACGGCGACGGTTCACCGCGTGTCTTCCTGTCGAGCGGTTTGTGGGCGGCGAGGTCGTTTCATAATACAGACGGGCGCTTGTACGTGCCGAAGATGTGATGGTTCTAATGTACTAGAGGTACTAGATCTAGATGTACTAAGTTCCATATTTTGTAAATTGAAATTTTCACTCCCGGTACGGTCTTTTTTGCGATGGGATTTTTCACTTCCACCCTAGTCCAAAAGCAATTTCAGCTCACTGCGAAGATGCGCTGTACCGTGCGGTACCGTGCCGTGCCGTACCGCGCCGTATCGTACCGTAATGCGCCGGGTAGTTGGTACTGTCTCAGCGTCGCCCAGCGTGGAGTGCGGGCTGGGCGCTGCGCTTGCTGAAAGCGTGATCAGACCATCGACTGAAGAACAGGCGGTGACGCCGGCTATGCTTTCGGCAGCCAGTGAATGTGAAATACGCCACGAGTCGTCCGCTATTCCGTTTTTCCTGCGACGACATGCAACACATAGGATATCTAGGATGCCCTGTGTCAGCAGGTGAGCTCGTTGAAAGTCGTAGGTCATTAATGCGGTCGCCAATGAGACTAGCGACGCTTTAGCCGTCTTCTACGCTATGTAGTGGCGCAGTGCTATCTGGTCGACATACAACCATATGTCAACTGTAAATGGTCAGTGACCCAGAAATCAATTTATCACGACTTGAATAGGTTATTCCCAGCCAATATTGGACGGGTAGAATGCCTTCCCTTCTTGGGGAGCTGCGGACCCACCTTTGTGGTTCAGTCTCCGGCGCATGAGGCACATGAAAGGTGGTGGGGAGAAAACCTGTCTTACGATTTGGCCCCAACGCCTGACATGACATTCCTTCGCTTAGATATGATAGCAAAAAGAGTCGAGGCGTCGTCTGCACGTGCTCACACCGTCAAGACCCTACAGTTCTCTAATCATTCGATTTGCTACAGAGATATGTGATCGGGCCCACGTACAGTTGTTTGGTTAAACTAGTGTATTGAGTAATCGGCACTGGGGACGCCTCGGTCGGCGAAATTGATGTTTCCGTGCTAAGCGCTGGAGGTGCAGATTGTTACAATCAGCGCAACTGACTGATTGGGCGCGAAGACAGGAACCCGGTTACGAAGACAATCCCCTAATAACTCCCCCTCCCCTCCCTCCCTCAACTGGTAGCGTGCGGGTAAACAGACCATCAGTGACCAGACTTGTGCTCCATTCCACGTGTGAGGAATCTACTCCAACTCTGAATCGAATTATGTGGAGCCAAATCCGAATACGATTCATCACTGTTACGTATTGGAATGGTGCTCCATTACAGGTGGAAGCGAGTGATAGTCAATTGTTCACGTTCCGTCGCAAACAACATGAATTAATTCAAACTCCGATGCAGCGGAACAACCGATGGCGTCGAATCGTATTCGATGCTGACCAAACAAAGCGACTCCGAGATTGCATTCGATTCCATTCAACCACAAGCATGTCGGTGCCTCCCCGGCTTAGGGGAATGGTGTACGGCTCGCGATGCGTAATCTAGAACTGACCAGACCTTGTCACTAAATTGCTAGTTGCATGAAGCCGCAACATTGCAGGTCTTAATCTGATGTCAGTATTCCTTCATGCTGCTAAGTTAGGGTCTACCAGCATTGTTCTGTGTGTGGTCATTCGATCGCGCGCATGGTTACACCACCGCATTCGCATAACAAAAATGTGCAGGAGAGCGGGCACGTGAATGAAATATTACAAAGGGCAGCAGGCTGTCACCACATTATGAACAGCGGAGTAGGCGTGTCGTTCAGTGCGTCAATATAAGGTTTGGAAATGAGGGCCGCTACAAAAATCCACAATGTGAAGCACTGTGGTAAGATTTGTGTTTCCGATAGACTATCACACGATCAACGACAGTCCGTAAAGGCTCGGCCATCCAATGTCAAGTATATTCAAATTCACGAAAAATCGCAGTCAGTGGTTTAAATATTACGCGGCTAGAGTACATGGTTACCTTAAGGTTTAAACGTTTGCTGCACGCTCTGTTTCAGATATGACACAAGAAGTGCATAAATACTCGCGTGCATTCGTTCGAAACAACCTGCCAGTTTAGCCAATCACACATTCATTCCCCGTTTCCCATCGCAGCTTCCTTCTTGCACACCGTCAACGTCACAGGAGTACATCCCCGTTGAGTGCTGCGTTACACAACCCCACACAAAAGCGGCCATCCATGGGCAGCGTCGCGGTGCTCAACCTCACCTCCGGCCAGCGAGCATGCGACTCCAGCGTCTCCAGACACCCCTCTGACCTGTTGCCGCAGGATGGCCGCCCTTCCCAGGCGCCCTCCCAGAGGCGGCCATCCCGGCCCTCGCGCGGCGGCACGCTCGCCCTCAGAAGTTCTCCTTGCGGAACTCGAAGCCGAACTCGTCGCACTTGTGCCGCACGATCCGGGACAGCTGCGGCGGGCCGCAGAAGAAGACCGTCACCTTGCCCTTGCGCTGCTCCTGGATCTGGCGGAACACCTTGTTCCAGTTGGGTCGGCCGGCGATAGTGCGCGTCTTCAGGCCGGTTATCATGTCCCGCTTTTCCTGCCGGCGGGTTTGACGTCACAGGGAGCCGCAGAGCCGGGACGCACCGACGCGCTCGTCTCAGAGCGGCGCAGGAAAACATTTTCCCACAGGACCACGCGAGTGACTGGCGGAAAGAGAGTACGGGACAGAGCACGAGCGGGGAGCGCTCTCGATTCCGGAAGCAGGTGCGGTTTCGCTTGGACTAGTCGGGACATTTCGATGAGCGACACTGCACGGAACAGGCTTCTTTTAACATGGCTGCGAATACTTACTGCAGAAACGGAAGCTCTGTGATGAGCAAAGTCCGTCTTCATTTTTTAAAGGCTTGAGCACGAAGTTCGTACGTAACAGCGAATGAAATAAAGTGTGGTAATCTCTCAGCGAAGCGTCCATTCAGATGGACAGTCAAGACGAACCTTCTCGTGCAGCAGGTCCAGTGCCAGCTGGAGACCCACAGCTTTCATGTCGGTCTTCTGCAGCGCCGATGTGATGTACATGTGCATGTCGAGGAAGCGCTCCAAAACGCTGCCCTGCTCGGCCTGCTCGATCTCCAGTTGAGACAGCAGGTTCACGAACCACTCGAACGAACGCTGGTCGCGGTTGATCCAGAAGAAGTCCACCTGAAGCCGACAGCCGGTCAGGGGACGGCGCCGGCGGCCGGAAATGACCCTGCCCTTCCTCAGGCGAGCACCGCCCGGAAGCAAAAGTCGTTTTAGTTCCCTGGACATGCGCAAATTTTGAGACCACTCCCGGCATGAGTAGGACACGTTGTGGCGAAGTGAGAAGCAGAAGTGAGAGCAAGAGCTGGAGAACTGTGGTCCTCACCAGAGTCCCGCATGATGCTCATCCCGGCACCCCTCAGCGCAGCTGTGCAGCGCCCTCACCCCTCCCCACAGCGATCACCCCTCCCTGATCCGCACCGGCACGGCGCTGTCTGCTCGGGCTGGATCGCCGCCCCCACCAGTCACGCTGTGGCGGGTCCTGACGCCCGCGGTATCATACGGCGCCGCCGCGCGCCGGCCCAGCGTACCTTCTTCAGGTTCATGACGGAGGCTGGCAGCTCGTCCGTCCACTTGTGCTGGCAGCGCTGGGCAGCGGTGACAGTTCTTCCAGTAACGGTGCATGATGGACTGGAGGATCGAGGCGAACGGCGTGACGCCAATGCCCGTGCCGATCAGCACAGCGTGCTGCGCTCGGAAGATGTGGCTGGAAGGCGCCCCGTAAGGACCGTCGAAGTAGATCTGCAGGTCGGGGCGGGAGGGGTGGTCACCCTCACGCCATGACACTGATCAGTGGTCAGTTCCATGGCACTGGTCAGTTCTATGCGATAAGATTTGTCCGCCTCGCGCAGTGCTGGTCAGCGCTATTCGAATGAACGGCGGGGTCATTGTATCGTCCCAGGCCGGTCGTCACCACACGAATGCAGGACGGCTTGTCATGTGGTGGTGGGGGGGGGGGGAGGGGGGGAATGAACGACTCAACCTCTTTCGCCCAATGTACACCAACGACGGGGAAAACATTACCGGGACGGAGGAAGTGGGGGAGTAGAAACGCGCAGAACGGCATATTTGTTCTGTGGAA